TTATTTTTTTTTTTGCCGTGTGCCATAAATCGAAAGATGTCTGTGCGCGTCGTGGTCGTCTGCAGCGTAATCTCTGCGCAACTTCCGACCCATCAGGGCCCAACMCCTTATTTTTACCATCATATAAATATATAAATGAATAAAAAAACAAAAACAAAAGTGTTACATGTAAATATGTATTATAATAATACGTACGTCAAGTTATCGTGTACCTCTATATATATATGTATATATGTAGCTGTTATTTAGGTGTATTAAATAATACGTAAATGAACATGAATATATTTAATTCATACAAGTTTTGTGCGTGGAATTTTACTGGATTGAATGCATTTGTATATATGTCTTATAAATTACCATTTACTACATTTTATGCCTATTGGCCATGCACATTATCATATATAATTATTATTATCGAATAATATGTCTCGGCGTCMGTCCGTCCGGGCCCTGATTATATATCTCTATATTGTTATATGTCTATATACATACCACGATGTATATATTTATTATTATTATCAGTGTGGGGAGGGGGGTCTACCCATACCTAGCTATTACGTGTGTACCTATATTTTTTTATTATTATTATTATTTTGTTGGAAACACGTCGATCTCGTGTAAGTACAAACATGGCGGCGGCACATCAAAGAGACGTTATCTTTTACCGAACGGGTTCCGAACGGACGCACAACGTTTCGACTCCGCCCCGGAGGGCTGTACCAATACGCGACCAATAGAACGACAACCGCAACGACGCACTATGCGTGTATATACATATAATAATTTATATGTATATAATATATACGTGTGTGTGCGTGTGTGTACGGCGTATAATTTAGTGCACGTGTGTAATATATATAATAACGTGACGCGTATACCGGCCGTGTGTTTATATTTTGTATACGGATGAGAGCGTGCGGGTCGACGACGATGACGACGATGACGACGAGAATATAGAATATATATTATWATATAGTGACCAGCTGCATGTATAGGACTTATACTCCAATTTGATATAACCCAAAAAAATTGAATAATGTCTACAATATGTTAATTAAATTATACCATAGTATATAAGTCTATAATTGTTGTGTATAATATAATATATATAGGCACAATATAATATAACATAATATRATAAATAACCTGAAGAAGAAAGATTTCACGTGTTAGCTTGAATGTAAATAAATTACATCTACCTACATGATTTCCATCATGCAGTGAGAAGTATATAGTCAAAATTATGAATGGGGAGGGGGATAAAGTTTAAATTAAAGTAGGTTCTTACAGTTTTCGTATATAAATAATACATTATTCAATGTAAATACTGTATCCTTAAAAAATTGTTAACCTTAAACTCCTTGTATGCGCCAATGGTCATAGACGCCGAGGCTTATTTATTTAAATAATAATAAAAAATAATACATTAGTAWCAGGGGTGAAATGTCAATGAGGGGATAGGAATTAACGTCTCTGCTGCTACGCTATTATGAATTTAAATCTGTGAACATACTAAGTATAGTATATAATAGGTACTATAGTCTCAATTCTCAGTTAAAATAATGGGTGAAGGACATTGCCACCTGCAAGTCATTCTGCAGGCTTCAATACAGTATAGTTTAAATAACATATTTAAATACGATAAAAAAAAATATAATAATATCTGCTTAGAATGCATATTTTAATTCCTATTATAAATACGTTTGTCAAATTGCATCATAATGTGATGATTTTTATTTTTCTGTACATCAAAAAACTTTGGGTCCCGCTCATGCCTAACATGATCTGATTTACAAAACGTCAAAAACTTACTACTGTATATATCCCTAAGTTTAGATGATTATTGTCAGGAAACTTTAAATAAAT